ACCTGAGAGTTCTTAAGGAACTCAGATGTGAGACTGTTTACTAACGGATATATGTAACTATCACTAAATTCAGCTGCTGTACCAGAAGACTAGATAAAGGTAAAGGTTTCCCTTTTTCAAAAGCCAGTCAAATCCGATTCTAGGGGACAGTGCTCATCTCCGTTTCTAAGCCGAAGAGCCAGTGCTGTCTGAAGATATTTCCATGATCATGTGGCCAGCATGACTAAACGCCGAGGCGCACGGAACGCTGTTACCTTCCCACTGAAGTGGTACCTACTTATCTACTTGCAAGTTGTTGCTTTCGAATTGCTAGGTTGGCAGGAGCTGGGGCCAGAGACGGGACCTCACTCTGTCACGTGGCACTAGGGGTCTCAAACTGCCGAGCTACTGACCTTCCGGTCTGCAGCTCAGCGTCTTAACCTCTGAGCCACCGTGGCCCCTCCAACCAGAAGACTGTGGAGTAGCAATTGTGACACCAATTTTTAAAAGGGATCCAGAGGGGAACCAGGAAATTACAGGCCAGTCAGCCTAGCATCTGTCCCAGGGAGATTAGTAGAAACTGTAATCAAAAATGGAATTGTTAGGCACGTAGAGAGACAATGCCTGCTGAGGGAAAATCAGCATGGCTTCTTCAAAGGGAAATCCTAACTCACCAATTCTTGGGAGTTTTTTTAGAAAGTGAACAAGCATGTAGATAACGGTGACCCAGCTTTTGTTGTTGTTGTTCAGTCGCACAGTCGAGTCTGACTCTTCGCGACCCCATGGACCAGATCCCGCCAGGCCCTCCTGTCTTCCGCTGTCCTCTGAAGTTTGCTCAATTTTATGTTCGTTGCATCGATGACACTGTCTAACCATCTCATCCTTTGCCGTTCCCGTCTTCTTTGACCTTCAATCTTTCCCATCATCAGGGTCTTCTCCAGTGAGTGCTCCCTTCTCATTTGGTGGCCAAAGTATTTGAGCTTCAGTTTCATTATCTGGCCTTCCAAGGAACAGTCAGGGCTGATTTCATTTAGGATTGACTGATTAGATCTTCTTGCACTCCAAGGGACTCTCAAGAGTCTTCTCCAGCACCATAGTTCAAAAGAATCTATTCTTCGGCGCTCGGCCTTCCTTATAGTCCAACTCTCGCAGCCATACATGACTACTGGGAATACCATTGCTTTGACCATGCGGACTTTTGTTGGCAGGGTAATGTCTCTACTTTTTATCATGCTGTTTAGGTTTGCCAGCAGGCATTATATAATTAGGGATGCCAGCCTCCAGGTGGGAGCTGAAGTTCTTGTCCTCCCCAGACTCCATCCTCAGATCTCCAGGAGCTTCCCAACCTGCATCTGGAAACCTTACCCGCTATCCCCTGCCGGTGGCCACGGAGGAACTGGCCATCCTATGCAGACTTTCAAAAGGCTTTTGACAATGTACCTCAGCAAAGATTTCTGAGTAAATCTACCAGTCATGGGATAAGAAGACAGGTTTTCTTATGGATTAAAAACTGGTTAAATGACAAGAAGCTAACAGTAGGAATCAATGGACAGATTTCACAACGGAGGGAAGTAAGCAGTGAGGTCCCACAAGGATCAGTATTGGGGCCGGTACGACTGAATTTATTCATCAATGATCTGGAACTAGGGCTTATTGTAGTGACCAGGTTTGCTGACGATACAAAATTATCCAGGGTGGTGAAAAACAAGGCTGCCTGTAAAGAAGTCCAAGAGGGCCTCCAACAACTGGGTGAGTGGGCTATAATGTGGCAAATGAAGTTCAATGTTGGTAAGTGTAAGGTGATGCACACTAGGACAAAAAATCCCAACTTCAAGTACAGGCCAATGGGTTCTGAACTTGCTGATACTGAGAGAGGAAAAGAACTTGGGGTCATAGTGGATAGCTCAATGAAAGTGTCAACCCAGTGTGCTGCAGCAATGAAAAAGGCAAATTCTACCTTAGGGGGTATTAGGAAAGGGACTGAGAATAAAATGGCCGATACTGTAATGCCCATGTACAGATTTGCCGTGTGGCCTCATTTAGAATACTGTGTACAGTTCTGGTCACTGGATCTCCAAAAGGACACCACAGAGCTGGAAAAATTACAGAGGAGGGCAACCAAGATGATTAGGGTGTTGGAGCACCTTCCTATGAGGAAAAGCTGAAGAGTCTGGGGCTTTTCAGTTTAGAAGAGGTGACTACGGGGGGACGCAATAGAGATTTATAAAATTATGTGTGGGACGAGTTGACAAAGTGAAATTTTTCTCCCTCTCCCAAAATACTAGAACTTGAGGGCATCTAATGAAACTGATAGGCAGTAGGTTCACAACGGACAAAAGGAAATACTGCTTTACACACAGAATGATTAAAATGTGGAATTTGCTGCCAGAGGATGGCCACAGGAATAAACATCTTTAAAAGGGGATTAGATAGATTCATGGCAGATAAATCTATCAGTGGCTACTAGCCATGGTGACTGAGGGGAACCTCCACATTCAGAGGCACTAATCCTCTGAATCCCAGAGCCAGGAGGCAAGATCAGGGGAAGCATTGGCCTCTATGCCCTGTTGTTGGTCATCCAGAGGAACTGGTTGGCCACTGTGAGACAGGATGCTGGACAAAATGGACCACTGGTCTGATCCAGCAGGACTCTTCTTACGTTCTTAGAGAGACACCATGTTGCATCCATAGACAATGGCTGCCAGTGGCTATTTCCAATTAAATACTGAGGTTCATGTTTTGTGCGACGCTGGTCTTTTTCTATTTCTTGGAGCAGTTCTAAAAGATTGCCCAGTTTCCTCCCCACCCCTGATCAGCTGGTCTCTATCTAGATGTTGTTAACCAATAAGGAAGTTGTCTGCTATCTCTGGTGCAAAGTCTCTTCTAATCAAGGGATGTAATTGATTAGAACTTGAGTCATGGCTTTTGAATTTTGGCCCTATAAAATCAGCTGCCCTCTGAGACCTGACTTTTAGGACACACCTGTGTTTTCTTAAATATGATTTAAAATTATAGCTGATAAGGAACTCACTGTATAGTTCGGAGGATGTGAGGGGATGGAAGACCCCACAGAATAAATGCAGCATGATGCAACACTCTGAAAAGGTGCTAGCCAATGTGTGGTATGTGCCTGTGGGGAAGCAGAGGAGGGCTGAGGTCCCAAAATTTCTTTAATCCAAGTAGGGGTCCTCAGGTTGGGAACCATTGCCTTAGATAAAAAGGCAAATCAAATACCATTTCAAAGTACAAATTTATATACCATTTGTTTTTAAGCACTTACTCAGTCCTATATGCGGATGACACCCAGCTCTATCTGATGTTGGGCCGCCAGTCGGGCTCCGACCCAGACGACCTGAACCGGGCCCTACAGGCCGTGGCTGGGTGGCTCAGGCTGAGTTGGCTGAAACGAAACCCAGCGAAGACGGAGGTCCTGTGCTTGAGTCGGGTCAGTCCCGGGTTGGGGATCCCTCTCCCGACCTTCGATGGGGTGCCTCTGGTGCCAGCGTCGGAGGTTAGGCATTTGGGAGTGCTCCTGGATCCCTCCTTAACCATGGAGGCCCAGGTGGCAGCTGCTGCCAAATCGGCCTTTTACCATCTTAGGCTGGCGCGGCAGTTGGCTCCCTTCCTCGACCACGATGACCTGGCTACAGTGATCCATGCGACGGTTACCTCGAGGCTAGACTACTGTAACGCTCTCTACATGGGACTTCCTTTGTCGCAGATCTGGAAGCTGCAGCTGGTGCAGAATGCAGCGGCCTGGCTGTTGATGGGCCTCCCCAAGTGGGAGCACATCCAGCCTGGGCTGAAAGCACTGCACTGGCTGCCAACAGCATACCAGATCCGTTTCAAAGTGCTGGTGCTTACCTTTAAAGCCCTATATGGCCAGGGTCCGACATACCTGAGGAACGGCCTTTCTCCATACGTACCCTCAAGAGCACTTCGGTCAGGAACTCAACATCGCCTGGTGATTCCAGGTCCCCGGGAGGCAAGGCTTGCCGCAACTAGGGCCAGATCTTTTTCAGTGGCGGCTCCTACCTGGTGGAATGAGGTCCCGGAGGAGATCAGGGCCCTGCAGGACCTTATGCAGTTCTGCAGGGCCTGCAAGATGGAGCTCTTCCGCCAGGTTTTTACGTAGGAGCCGCCACTACCACCACCAACAACAGCGTGGGTAACAACTGGGTAGGAGGATGGCGCTTGAAGATCTGCCATGATACCGCGCTGGGTGGGTACCACTGGACTAGCTGCATACCAGCTACAGGACACTATCTACCTCCAATGAAAGATCCGACATTTATCGTTGGAAAACCATCTTGTTCTTTATTGAGCACCTTACTTTTGTGATTAGATTATTTTATTCTGTTTTAATCTTGTTTTATATGTGGGCACTGTTGCCCTCTTGTAAGCCGCCTTAGCCCACTTGTGAGGAGGACGGGGTAAAAATACTAATAAATAAAATAAATAATCACGAGAGTGTAAATCCTACTGGACTCAGCAAGGCTGAGTTTAAGTAAACATGCTGAGGATCACATGGTTAGTGGGACAGTTATAGATTGTTCAAAGCTTACAAATAGACACTTGTTTAGTTTCCAGTGGTAAAAATCACTCCAGGTGACCAAGCAGGGGAGAAAAAGCTGGCTCTTTTTGGCTCTCATTCCCCGCCCATCTCCATTTTATCCTCATAACAAACATGAGAGAGACTGACTTGTTCAAATTCACCCTTAGAACCCAGGTGTCCCCCAACCTCAGTCCAGTACCCCAACTACTACATCATAATGAATGTATGTGAAGACAGAGAGACTCAATTTAAAAAAAACTGATGTATGCATTTTAGTACAAACTCTCCGAGACTAGAGTCAATTTCCTCCAACGCATTGTTTTTCTCTAGTTGGAAGATTTGTATGTTTGAGGCACATTCCCAAAGCATCTATTCCCCCTAAAAATTATATTTGCAGTTTTTCTATAGACTAACACAGCACCATACAATATCTGAGGAAGCAATATAAACTACTGGTTTACCTGGGTTATTTGATATCAATTTGTGCTCACTTTACCTTTGAGCCACAAGCGTCAGCAATTTCAAGTTTAGGTTTCTTCTTCCTCTTGTGACCATGGAATGTAACAACTTCTACCTCTGCTGCTTTTTCAGGCGGGGCAAGTTTATGGGGGACAATGTCAGAGGCACCCAGTTCTTGAAGAGGTCTTTTTGGATTAACGGAATCACAATCCAGTTCATTTTTCAAATTTTCAAAGAAGCTGGAGGCACTTTGCCTCTTGCCTGTCATGACTGTGCTGTGTTCATGTTTCATGCTGTCATCGTCTGTGAAAGCACTGTTGGCGCTTGTTCCTAACTTCTGTGATTTTTTCTTTTTGCTCCTTTTCTTCTTGTTTCCCTCATGATGTAATGATTCACCTGTGGTATAAAAGCAAACACATCTCAGTTCCCTTATTCAACTAGTTGTAAGTTTTTCATTTCAAATTAATTGAATTTACTTTTTCATACTTATACATAGCACATACACAATTCATTTAAACAATATATGCAAAAGATTTCCTGTTTTAAAAAATTAAGTACAGAGACCTTGGGACAGACCAGGTTTCCCACTGTAATGATATTTTTAAATTATTCTATCTTACGCCATCATTTCACTTCATTCACCACATGCCTTCATAAAGAAAGAGTTTGATTTTTTTTTAAATGAGGGATAGATAAGTACAGTGTAAAAAGAACCCCATGGTTTCCATTTTTAAAGCAATCAAGTCAAAGGGTTTTTTCTAATACAAGGTACTTTTTCTAGTAATGGCCAGTTGTTTGCCTTCCCTCAGCAGCTCAGAGTCAAACCAACTTCATAAACAACCTCAGCATTTTAATCCTCCTCCTTTAGAAATGCAAATTGTCTTCTTCTGTTGTGGAAAAGAACAGCCTAGACTACCAATTACATACATACATATTTATTTATGTATTTATTTGGATATTTATACTTTGCTTTCCTTCCCAATAGGGACCCCATGTGGCTTAACACCATTCTGCCCTACTCTATTATTTATTTATATACATTTTTATTTTATTTTAACACATTATAGGACAGGGAGGGTACAAGTATGGAAGGGTACAAGGGATGGGATAAGACATAAAGGGAAGTTCCATCAAGTTTATAAAATAGCTGTTACGAAGTTTCCATCTTAATTCTTTATTTCCAAATCTCTTTCTTTTATATATTTACTGATAATAACACTTAATCGAATCGTTAAAATCTTCTATTTTGGATTCTGAAAAAAGTTTCTATAGAGTTCAAATGAGAGTTTCTCCAAGTTTATAGTAATTATATTCATTATTCATGGTCTTCAAAGCTTCTTTCCACCCAGTCATAAAACGGTCTCCAATTGTCTCTCACTTTTTGTTTATTTTGGTCTTTTAACAAGTCCGTCAATATATCCATTTCCGCTGTTTCAAAGATTTTTGACAAAAGTTCATTTTCTGTTGGTATCTCCAATTTTTTCTAGTATTTAGCATACAGAATTCTTGCTGCCATAACTATATGTATAATTAAGTGCGGAGGCAGGAGAAGAGGGAGGGTAAGTTGCTTCCTCCCCGCCTCTCCCCACCCCTGCCTGCCTGGAGCCAGGGAGGGCCTTGGTGGGGCTTCCTCGCACTCCCGCCGGCCTCGCAGGTCCACCGCCGGGCCCCTGATGTCAGGGGGTGTGGCATATGCTAATGAGTTATGCTAATGAGTTCCCCTAGCTCTTTTTCTACGAAACGACCCCTGCATTTCCAACATTTGTCAGACATTCCCGGGTACATTCTGGCTAATTTGTCTGGTGTTATATGCTACCTATAAAACATTTTATATATATTCTCTTTAAAAGAAACCGATTTTGTTATTTTAATATTTGTTTTCCATATTTGCAACCAATGGTCAAGATCAATATTATAGCCAAAATTTTGGGCCCATTTTATCATACATTCTTTAATCACCTCATCTTCCATCTTTATCTGTAACAAATGCACATAAAATTTCTTAATTAATTTATCATTTATTTCATATAAAATTGTTCTGCATCAAACCCCTGGGGTTGCATTTTATCATTTATGTTTTTAATCTGGGTTGTTATCTATTCTGGGTTGTTAAACTATTCTGCACTTGGCTCAACCCAGTTAGAAACGTTGCTTGCAAACTTGTCTGGAGCTCTTTTAAAGAATCTTGAGTTCGCATCCCTGCCACAGATTTGATTTGACCTGGAGAGGGGTTGGGTGAGGAAGAAGGTGTATTTTTTCTATCTGTCTTACGAGGTTTGCTCATTTTTATATATTTATTCTAGTATAATTTTGTCTTGGGCCAAATAATTATTTTACTGTTTCAGTTCACTTACCAATATTTTAAAAACTATACAAAACCTATACAACCATATTCTCCCATCCCAAAATACAATAGCAAATCAAGTTTTCACCATATTCTTTCTGCAATCATATAATTCAGCCCCCCTTCTTCCCCCCCAGACCAATATTTAGCAAATAAACAATTTTAGTCTCCCAGCCAGTTTTATCTGACTCACAGTCTATAAATCACTTCCACAGATAGGGATGTGTCTTCACTCTGACACTTCAGAGCTATTCCAGATGTGGGCAGAACTTCTGCTGGCTCCCAATCCTTTAATCGCGCCTCAGTTATAAAAAGCCTGGTGTTTCTCTTCACTCTGACTATCCAGAGCTAATCCATATATGGTCAAGCTTTATGCCACGTCACACCGGAAGTGAAATAGTAAAAAAGGTTCACATAGCTTTCACCCCCACCAACAATCAAAATCAGACAATATAGAGCATATTATTGTAATCCTCTTTAGGCAGAATAGCTCTGGGTATCTGAGTATATCTTTTGCTTTTATATCAAACTGGAACCCTCAGGAAAGCTGTAGTATCAGAGAGGATTCACATTCCTACCAGATCACTTCCTTGCCAGGAAAGCAGATGCTGTCCCTCCCTCTCCAATTAGAGTGAAAGCTGCTTTCTTCAAGGAGGGGGGGTTAGCCTCCCACCCCCCTTCCTCCCACAGTCCAGCTGTTCAGGTTTGGATTCTCAAGTAAATCTCTCAAATCAGATCTTCTTTAATCAGGTAACAAACTTACTCATTTGTAAAGTTCTCTATAACAGCATCTGCTTGCTTCTCTCACTCTGGGGCATTCACTGCTGCATGCCAAGATGGCTTCCATGTCGGTCTGTGCTTCAGGGCAAATGTTGAAAGCTCAATCCCCACAGCTGCCACTTAGGGAGCGCTTCCATGTCAACACCCTCTGCTTTCGTGGCCCTTCTCCTAGGGTCTCCTTAGATCTCAGAATCCCCCGAGACCGACAAACCAGGCAGTTTGGCTCTCCTTCAGGAGCAACTCCAAGGAGATACTGAAGGTGCTGTGCCGAAACCCCGCCTCCCTATTGATTGATTTTTGTCATTTTTTAAAAAAAATCCTGCCCTACCCTGTGAGTGGGCTCAGGGCAGTTTACAGCATGCCATAAAACAATTATACGCTAAAACAGGAATTACAACAAGATTAACATTTTAGGTAATTTAGAATGTACCTATACCTAATGGCAGCTCAGAGATTAGTTCCATTCAGTGTACACTAAACTCATGCCAGGAGGGGCGGTGGATCACTCTGATAGAATTAAATCAACCGCACCTGTCACTAGGGTTACCATTCCCCCCGTGGGGCCAGGGGATCCCCCAATTTCAGGGCCCCCAATCCATTATGGCCCAGCTGGCTGGCAGGGGAAGCCCCACCCCCAAGAAGTTCCCTCCTAGCGCTGCTGGTGCAATGACATCACCCGGGAGTGATGTCATCACATTTTGACATTGGGGGTGATGGTCTAGGTTTTGGGCATAATTCTATGGTTTTGAGAGTTTTTGCCCAAAACCTAGAGTGTTGCCCCAATGCCAGAAACAAACACAATGACATCACTTCTGGGTGACATCACTGTGGTGCATGCACCAGGAAGGATTGGGAGTCCCCCGCCAGCAGACAGGTAGGACCTAGTATCCCTACCTGGAACCCATAATATAAGTGGTGCCATGGAGCGCTTGAAGCAGGGGAGGCCAACGTTATTCGACATCCGCCACCCCAACCAAAGGCCTGGTGGAACAGCTCCATCTTACTGGCCCTGCAGAACTGTAACAAATCCTGCAGGGCCCTGGTTGAGACAAGGCAGACATCTTTTGGGCTGGGGACTACTAACTAGTGCTGGTCTGAAGAGCACAAGGCTCTTCAGGGCACATACAGGAGAGACGGTCCCACAGGCATGCTGGTCCCTGGCCACATAGGGCCTTAAAGGTTACTACCATAACCATAAACCTAATTCGGTACTCAACTGGCAACCAATGCCGTTGGTGCAGCACTCGCTGAATGTGTGCCTGCACAGATGTCCCAGGCAGCAGGCACGCCACTGCATTTTGTATCAGCTGAAGCTTCCAGATCAGGTTTAAGGGTAGGCCCGCGTAGAGCGAGTTGCAGTAATGAAGTCTGGACGATCTTCCCAACAACCATGTGAGTGAGGTAAGTTAAGCTGAGAGTGACGGTTTTGTGAGCAATGATGGCTGATGACATATCTCCTCTTCCTTCAGCGAGTGTTGCAGAGTCATATAGAAGTTGCACACACCAGCTTAGGTTGGTGCTATTTACACTTTTATTTACATTATATACAGAGTCCATGTATTCACAGTTTCCACTGACAAAGTGCTTCGCCAAGCAACCTGATACCATACTGGCATACAGTGGTATATACAGCACAGATTTATATACAGCACAGATTTATATACACATGGAGTAGTCCAAGTATCCAATCAGCACAGAGATGCTGAGTCAATGAAGCACCTCCTGCAGGCTGATGCAACATGTCCAGTCATGTGACCTTTGACTGTCATTTAGATCACCATGATCTGTCTAACAAGCTACAATCTTGTTAAGCCATTTTCTATGCACATGCCGACAGAGAGAGCGTGACTGGCTGAAGTTATCCAGTGACCTTCTGTGATGAGTGTAAGTTCAAACTTGGGTCTCCCAAATCCTAGTAAGATACTCTAACCACTAGTGTAATCAGATCTCATTGATTTTTTCTGCTGTTTTAATGCTTTGTGACTTTTTTTTGCTCTCCTTTACTATCAAATTTTACAACTTTTAATGAAAAAATACAAAAGATAACAAAATATACAACTTTAGCAAAAAAAGGGGGGGGCACCATTACATGGCATGATTATGTCAACATTTATCTTATAGTCTGAAACTTTATTTTTTAAATAAAATTATTTTATTCATTTGATTTATACCCCGCCCTCCCTGCAAGCAGGCTCAGGGCGGCTTCCACAAATAGATGAAATAAAATACTTACAAGATTACTACATTCCTTGATCTCCGTTAAGAAAATTAT